AGTGTCTCACTGTTATGAAAAGTCTTAGGTTATTAAATGTCATATTCTGTAGATCTTTGAAGTATTTGAAGACCATCTATCTAAATATATCTGTTTAACCTTGAAAACATACCTAATATGATTATAAGTTTGATTATACAGATGGCTATTAATGTGTATTTCTTAATTATACATTACATTTTTAAATGAGCTACATAAACACAATACCCCAAACAAGAGTAGGAACATACATACAGTATACTCAAATTAGCTTTAAATTTGTATCAATAAACCAAAATGCATACCAATACAAATTATTTTGAGATTAATAGTTGTTTTTTGATTTAAAGAAGATTCAGTAATCTACCCTTTTATCTCATCATTTTTGTATCATACCCCCTTTTTCCTTTAGAAAGAGGTCTTTGCATTTAACTCTTTTGTGTAGCTTTTTTTCTGACTATGACCAATCACAACTTGTACCCAATCCCACTAAACCATTTATAATTCATTGAATAACCTAAACATACCCATACTCCATCTATTGGGAATGTGGGCATCATTCTCTAGACACTTCCTGTTGTCTGTGGGCACTGGTATCTTAAGGGAAACCTTAAAATCAGGATAATTGTTAAGTCTCTTAGTTGGAGTTGTTTGTGAGGCTGGACTATTTCAGCCAGCACACTTAAAGCTATTCTGGATGCAAAATTCTGAGGAGAATGTAGCAAAGGCATTTTGAGATGCTGGATCATCTAATCATCTGGATCATCCTTTTTTTATTGGTGTTTGCTCCCTTGTTCTGAAAATACATAATTTTTTTCCCTGGATGTCCTGGAAATAGCTCTTATAAACCAGGCTGGCCTCAAACTCACAGAGATCTGCCGGCCTCTGCCTCCTGAGTGCTGGTATTAGAGGCATACACCACCACTGCCCGGCATGAAAATACATAAACTTTTAAGGGTGACATATATGGCTGTATCAATACAAGTATAGACTATGTACTGCACAAGTTAGCCAAAGGTGATTTTGTTTTATGTTTGAGCAGTTCCTGTTGGGCTTCATGGTCATGTGTGTCAGTGTTATTAGCCAGTTTTGCTTCCTGACTGCTGGTCTGACTGTCATGTGGAGGGTGACGCTATGCCCAAGATGATTTGGAGAGACAGGAGTTTGCACCAACTTCCCACATCCCTGCAGTTGTGGAAAGTCTGACTCTATCACCAGTTCTTTATTTCAGTCATTCCTAAGGTCCTACTTCCCTTTCCAGTTTTAATAGGGAAGCTAAATAACCACTTTTACTAGTTGCTGAAGTCTGAGTTTATTCTACCCTGGCTTTTTGTTGTGAGATATTTGATTACATTGTGTAAAGATACATCACTGTGACTGTTTTAATAAAAATCTTAAGAGCCGGGCGATGGTGGTTCACGCCTTTAATCCCAGCACTCGGGAGGCAGAGGCAGGCGGATCTCTGTGAGTTCAAGACCAGCCTGGTCTACAGAGCTAGTTCCAGAACAGGCTCCAAAGTCACAGAGAAACCCTGTCTCGAAAAACCAATAAATAAATAAATAAAATAAAAAATAAAAAAATAAAAATTTAAGAATCAATAGCTAGGCAAGAGGTATAGGTGGGACTTCAGGACAGACAGCGTACTGGGAAGAAGAAAGGG